ATATAATGTCCCCAGATTCAACTGTGCCAAGATCCAGTAAATACACAGCAAATAAGTGAAAAGGGCATTTTAAAAACTTCTTTGTAAGCTCAAATATGCTTTTACCATCCAAATAAAATATAGCTGCCAAGGGTGGTGTGACCCAAAAGGCATTTCTGAGGACCTAATCTACAGAGAGCTTGCCAAGGTCTGGATAAAGATGGCTGGCAGAAGACAAGAACCACTTAGCAACATTTAAAAAACAACAGTTTTCTAATTTTACTGCATCTTCAGTCTTATTTCCTCTGGACAAACACTATTAATGTGACTGCAAGCATTCAGACTTCTACCATACCTAACAGTGGTCAAACACTAACTTTAAGTACCATAGCACAAAGCTGCTAAGCTGCAGAGGTCTGAATTATAGCCTTGAGAAAATTCATTGGCATACAGTACTTAAAGAAGGAAGCACTGAAGTGTCTTCACTCACTTGAGATGAAAGTATTTCTCATTCAAAAATAAGGTCCTGGTGAAGTGCCTGCTTACTCAGTCCCAAATTTCTACACTGCACCGTGAAGAGCCCAAGCAAAGGCACCAGCCCCCAAACAGGCTAACGACAGCATCGACGTGTTTCCAGAAGCAAAGGTATTAAGCTCCCTCTGGATATGATCCTACTCCTGTTTGAGTTGATGGAAGATGTTTCACTGGTTTTCAGGGCAGAAACGTGAGGTTATTATCCTGCCTCCAGATCTGAGGGTGAATCTCAAACCATACATGACCTTTTTTACCCCATCTGTTACTTACTTTGTTTTGATACAGCTTAAATACTTTAAAAATTTCACTGTGCACTACAGATTTAAAAAGGTTTCACAGTGCAGTTTCCTCTTCCACAAGACTGCCCACTCACAATGGCCAAAAGCTTGTTTCTATTCCAGTTAAGGATCAAGCTAAGTTTTATCAAAGTAAGTTTTCAGATGGAGCAGTCATCTTTAGAGACGAGAAGCAATCTACCTGCACAGAGGGAGCAAATACATGGCTTTTCCATCCCACATCAGCACTGTCTGTCTCTCTTTCCCACTCATCTTTAGAAACCAGTATCTCTGTTCTGACACTTCAGATACAAGAAACCTCTTGAAGGAATTAAGCCTGAATGGAAAACCCCAGAAGAAAACAGAGACAACAGAAGAGCAAAGCCCAACCAGACTAAGTTTCATCAATGACAAAACTGAAGATGAGTCTTGTCAGAGGACTCAACCATATAAGCATTTTGTCAGCTTTTTCACTGACAAAGAGGAAATCTTAGTGTTAAACTAAGACTGTACGCAGGACATGCCATAGTCTCTTCTTTCTATTTATCTATCTGCAGATGGCTTGTTTCTTGAATTCTGCATTTGAGCACACAACTCACTTTTGCTTTCTGCTAAGGGTTATGCAGTGTGAAGAGTTATTCCAGGATCACTGGAAATTTGAAAAATCCTGCTCTCCAAGGAGAAACACCTTGGGAACCCTCTGGAAGTGCACAGACCACTACAGAGGCAGGGAACCCAGAAAGTTGCAGTACACTCCTCCTCTCCACTCCAAAACAATTTCCAAACTGATAAATTCAAGCATTGGGAGAGATCTCCCAAAGCAGAAAGGACAGCAGATAAAGGTACTCAAGCTTCGGGGATTGCCCAAAATTGAAACATACATTTTACTGATCAAAAAACCAAAAATCCCAGCGCAAAGTTGTACTCTGAAATAGGAGGGAAATGGGAAGGTTTCAGTTTTCTGTAATGCAGTCTGGTTTTGATAATCCTTCAGAGCAGCCGGATGCCTAGAACAAAAGTAGGGCAAGTTGCTGGAAGTTGGCTTCTTCACCAAAAGCTACACGGTCCTACTTCCACTCCGTACCATGATGAGCACTGTCCTAGGACATAAACCTTTGACAGCACTTTTGACAGAGCACAGGGAGTGTACCATAAGGAAATCCATCCACTTCCATCAGGAATTGGGGCCTACAACTTCAGTCCCCCAAAAGAGTAATCTAAGGCTGCCTTAAGCATTTCTTATGGAGCCTTTATCATCCCAATACAGCAAGATGCTAAGTGTGTCAGGGTATTAGACAGAACCTGAGATGCTTTGCAAATAAATGCACTGCTGCTCAGAAAGCAGAAAAAAGCCTCAAGTGTTGTCTTAAGAAAAATTGGGCCTAACGATCCCTGCTGTCCCCTGTGTACATCCCTGCCCTTGCACTGCAGAGTCAAATCTTGTCCTGGTTTCGGCTGGGATAGAGTTAATTTTCTTCATAGTAGCTAGCATAGTGCTGTGTTTTGGATTTAGTACCAGAAGAATGTTGATAACACACTGATGTTTTTAGTTGTTGCCAAGTAGTGCTCAGACTACTCAAGGACTTCTCGAGCTTCTGCTCGGCCAGGTGGTGCATAACAAGCTGGGAGTACAGCACAGC